CCTGTCACACTGTTATATTGTTGTTGTTAATGTTATCCCTTACCTCTGTCCATATTCCCTACTGTCTTTTCAATAATTTTTTGTTTATATTTTTAACTTTTAATTCTGGTTCCCTGTGTGTGGTGTTAATAACCTCCTCAGCAAAAACCAAAGCTGGCACATCCCATCTCTTAGGGGGCAGGACACCACACACTGACAGCGAGCCTGATACTAACCTATCCTAATTGCTCACCACTCCAGCGGGTTCCCTTCCTAAACTTATTTGTTCCCACTACACCTGTGTAGACCGGCTTGAGATTGGAACATAGAACACAGACATATTTGGAAACCAGCTTGTGTTTCCTCACTAATTTGAGAAAGCAAGATTATTAAAAATCTTCATATTTTCTTAAGGAAAAAAATTGACATAATTTTATGGGCACTGGTTCTTGTTCATTTTTTTGTTTTTGGGGGGCATCATTTGTTAGCTGTTCACATACTGTGTGTTCATTTTAATTCCTTCGTTACTATGTACCGCGTATTTTTATGCAGTGATTCATATTCTCTGCCGCTAGATGGCAATACTACCAGCTGATGTTTTTCAATAATATGGGAACAAGTATCATGGTGAAAAGCATGAAATATTAAGCTCTAGCTCTCTGCAGAAACACTAAGCACTGAGTCAAATTTTGATCACTTTGTTTATACACTAATTTTATTTATTTATATTTTAAGATAAGTAAAAGATGCCTAGCTAGGGCAAAAAGCACTCAAAACACCATTATTACTAGATATCAACAATATTAGTTGAAACTGGGAAAATAAAAATAACCTGGAAGAGACTGGGGATGCTGAACCAAACCTAGTAATGCCAACTCTCACAAATTATCATGAGAGTCGCAATTTCTAGGTAAAATTAATTCTGACTCATGATCTAACTCTCGAATCTTGGGATTTTTTCCTCTGGCTCCAACCAGACCAGAACCAGCCGCAAGTCCCTGGGAGCCCAGGTGTGGAGAGTGGAGCCTGGGTAGGGCCTAGCTGCAGGGGGTGTAGGGAGCCCCGCCAGGTCAGCACCAAGCCTGGGGCCACAATGGGAAGGGGGGCTGCTCAGGGCGATGTGTGAGGAACCAGGGGGAGGAAGGGTTAGAACAGAGCATCTCATGATTTACATACCAAATCTCTTGATTTTTAAGAATTTGAAGAGGCTTTAGGTGCCTCTTGATTTTTGACACAGTGGTGTTGGCAATACTGCAAATTCTATGGGCAGCAATGGAGTGGGCTGACCACTACGAGAGATAAGATCTATTCCTACACTGTTTTATACTAACACCAAATGAGTCCCCCATTAGGCATGACCTGGACAGAGAAGCATGGGTCAAGCTGAACAGACTGAAATCTGGATATGGATGCTTCAAAACAATAGTTTACAAGATGAGCATCTTAGCCCGCTGCGTGAATGTGGTGCCCAACGAACAGCAGAGCACTTAATCAGAAGTCGCAGTCTCTACAAAAGCCCAGACAGGGTAGATGGAATCCGCACTTTGAGCCACAATACCAAGAGTGGCTCGTAGATTTAAGAGTTGATATCTGATACCATACGAAAGAGAGAGAGAAATATTAATCATTTCAACAGGTCCATTGTCCAACCAACGCCTTTCCACCCTTTCTTAATTGGGAGAACCATGTAAATGAATGGCCATCCTGTTCAAATAAGATGAGCAGAATTTAGCTCTTCATTCATATACAGTAAAAGCTGTGTTAACCGGCATAAGTGGGGAACGTGGCATGCTGGTTATATAAAAATCCTAGTTACCTGAGGCAGGGGTTCTCAGCCAGATGTGGGCTGGGGCAAGAGGAGGTGGGGGACAGCAGCAGCTGGATGCAAAACGACAGCAGTGCAGCGTGGTGGGTGGGTGGTGGCGGTGGCCGTGTGCAAGATTCCCCCTCTCCTCCCCCTAACCTCCCTACATCCAGCCAGCCAGCCGGAAATTCCAGTTAATAGAAATGCCGGTTACTAAAATGATGGTTAACACAGATTTTACTGTATATTTTCTATCACTAAGATTTCATTACTATCTATGATTACAGGAACATGAAGAGGGTTCTATAAGATCTTGTTTATATGCGTCAATATTATCAATGCCAGTAGAAATGTACTGAGCTCCACCACAGATCAATTAAGATAAAAACCCTTTTTAAAAATAAATGTTCAGCCTTAACCACAATTGAATAGAATGGTCTCATAGTCAAGGCAGACCCATTCTCTTCCAAACTACATAACTTTTTAATTAATTTTCTCAGATAGATATACTCAGAAAAAAAGGATATGTGTGGAATATACATACTAAATAACACCTGAAAAGAAAATTGAAAAGAACAAGATTCCATTAATCCCAGCAAGAACAGGACTGGACAGCAGATGAATGCTATTCAGTGACACTGCATGTTGATGTTACTGAATGCTACAAGTACTCAGCACTTTTGAAAGTTGGGTCCTACAAAGAACCTATGCATACTTAACTTTCCTGACTGAGAGCAGTTTGGAAAGAACATAGATCATAGGTTCATGGGAAAGTAGGACTGGAAAGGACCTCACAAGTTCATCTGCTCAAAGCAGGAGCATCCTGACTAAACCACCCCAGCCAAGTGTCTGTCCAACTTCCTACTGAAAATTTCCAGGGATGGAGATCCTACAATTTCTTTAGGTAGCTTGCTGCCATGTTTGATCACCCTCATAGTCAGAAATGGAATTATACAGCACCAGAGAGATACAAAAATGCAGTAGGTATAAAAAGTCCTGCATACTAAAGGCTTTGCTTTTACCTGGAGTATGCACTTACTATAAATCTGTGGGGGCCAACCTTTTTTTGCAGGCCTGTTACAAATTAGCCCTATGTCCTCCCCAGAAGTAGCACAAGGACTTTTGCCACCCAGGGCAAAAGAAATTTTGCTGCCTTCCCTCATAATGCACCTGGGACCTATTGACAGCAGGCACCAGACAGAGCCCTACAATGGTTTGACAGCAAGCTCCAACCCATGCTGACAAAAAAATACAAAATACTGACCCCTGTTTTAATCAGTTATGCCAAGGGTGTCAAACACATGGCCTATGAGCCAGATCTGGCCTGCAGAGCTGACCTGACCAGCTTATCAGGCTAGAAGTTGGAGGGCATAGCTAAGAGGAGTGGCCTGCTGCAGAATCTGAGGCCCTTGGGCCCCAGTGAATGTGGTGACTAGTGACAGGAGGGTGAGCAAGGGCTGATACAGGCCCGCTCTCCCTCTGGCTGCTTTGCCTGTTGTCACCACGATGACCCTACCTCATCAACCATCAGCATTACCACTCCACGATGGAGCTGCTACCACCACTACATGCCCCACGCCAGAGCTGGCACTACTGCTGCAACACAGGGAATGTGGCACATGGCAGAAGCTCTAGCTCTGGCCCACGGTAGGTGGCAGCAGCGGCAGGTTTGGCATGTGGCACATGACAGAAACAAGAACCACTACTGCTATCACCACTGCCACCACCTACCCTGAGCCAGAGCCAGAATTGCTGCCACATGCCCCAGGCTATATCCAGCCCGCAAGGAGCCATGCAAGTCCAGATTCAGCCCAAGGAATAAGGTGAGTTTGACAATCTGCACTACGTGTGAGTTAGTCCAGAACCAAAAGTGGCCCTACTACTGGCAAACATCCTTCACCCCCACCTGGGGCTTCAGATGTTTCCAAATCCTTTGACAAGCAACCTAAGTGCAGGCCCAAGCCCAGAGGCACAGGGTTCGGATGCCTCCGAGTTTCGCTTGCCCTCAGCCATACGGCCCCAGGAACAAGCTAGGGAGGAGCCTCCAGTTTCCATAAAGTGGGCATAAAGCCAAGGTTAAGTACACATTACCTACACAGGTACTGTCCCATGTCAACAGAGCGGTCTTCCCTGGGTGTAGCTTCCTAGATCAGCCTCTGTGGCGATTGTGGTATTTCGCCTTGGTAAGCATAGACCATGCTTGATCTGAGCCAAGAAGTGATGGCAACCAGGCATCGAGCCTAGCTTGACAAGGACACACCAGGGTCCATGGGGGGTTGCAGCAGTGCCTGGGAAAGGTCTGCGGTGTCTAGAGTGCACCACCCACCCGCAACGTGGGGCTGGGCACAGCTGTTCAGTGGGCCCCTAGGCAGGGCTGAGCCTGCTTTTCCACAGACACCTCCTCTTTGGGTCCTCCCATCCCTGTCCTAGCGTGTTTTTTTTAAATATCAACAAACATCTGGGATTTGGGATTAGCATAGACTGTGCCTCATCTGAGCCAAGCAGCAACGGCAATGGAGCATCAAGCCCAGTTTGACCAGGACACACCAGGGTCTGCAGGGGGGGTTTGCAGCAGCACCTGAGAAAAGTCTGTTGGTGTCTAGAGCATGCAGTGTGGGGCTGGGCACAGCTGTGCAATGGGCCTGGAGGCAGGGCTAGGGTTTTTCCCAGCTCCATCCCAGTGGGGTTTTTTAAATATGAACAAAGCTCCCGGATTTGGGCTTTCCCTCTGCTCAGCAAGCTTTTGGGACTCAAAGCTGCAGCTCCTCCAGCAGGGGAAGGGGCAGCCGGGAGAGCCTGCAGGGCTGGGGGTCAGCGGCGCTGGGGGCTGCCCACCCCGGGAATCCTTTTTTCCCGCTTGAACTCCTGGAGGGAAAGACAGGAGCCATGGGGCGTGACGTCACCGCCGCGCCTCCAAGGGAAAGAAAGTTCGATAGGTCACGTCGCGCCTTCCCGCCGCCTCCCGTACTTCCGGAAACACTCCCGGGGCGGAATGACAGCGGAGCCGGCCAATCGCAGCCTGGTACGCTCCGGAAGGTGGGACTCCTTCGCAAATGGCGGTTTAGAATCTCCCGGGACTGGACAGCGTGAGGTGGGGTATTTGTAATCAGCGAGGGGTCGCGGCCTGGTGGCTCCGTGGGCTTCCTGCCCCGCGTCGTGCAGCAAAGCTGTGCGCACCTGCGTGGGCTCCCCGCGTCGTGCGGGGTTGGGGTGGGGCATGTCCACGAACTCCGTATTATTTTATTCTAATTACCGTCTTGTAAATTGTCGCTCGTGAAATGATTGCTATACGCTCGGCTTTAGGTGCCTTGGTGATGTTTCTGTTGCCTTCTGCGAGTCCTTTGTAGTAAAGTACTAACCCTAGATACACCAAAATGAAAATGCCTGCTTTTGAATGCATTGCAGCCCCCTCATACGTTTTTGTCTGTGTTCCAGTCATTTCTCAATGGAGACGAAAACGCCGGTCAGAAGATACGAAACACGAAGGAGCTCGAGGCTAAAAGAACCAGAAGCCAAAACACGGGTCGATTGGAGACGGACGAAAAGAAACGTTATAGTGTTTAATAGCGATGATGACAATGATGAAGAGCTGTCGTCTCCGGAAGATGAGCTTTCGTCCTCATTGGAAGATGAAAAAAATGAAACCGTAGTTCAAAAGAGTAGCTTTGCAGATCATGAGAAGAAAACTCTTGACACAGTTATTGTGGAGGATGCCGAGGATGAACCCATTGCTTCAGGAAAGCGCAAGCGGTTAAGCGCGTCGGTAATGTATGACAGTGATGGGAGTGATGACAGTGATATCCCTGTTAGAAAAGTGTTTGCTAAGCGCAACTGCATAATGGATGAAGAGACGAGCTCTCAAGAGCAGCAGCACCCCTGTAGCACCCTTACGGCAGAAGAGAATTTGCCTAGTAAGGACCAGAAAGTGCTAACAGAATCGAAACACGTGCCAAGACCAAATGCCATCCAGACATCTGATGACAGGGAATACTGTGAGGTGATTATTTTACCTTGTGGGACACGTCTTATCTTGGTTAACAGTGTTTCATGGGGGGGTTTTCACTCAAGAGGTGGACTGGGAATTCCCCAAGTCTAGAGTGTGGGCACTCTAGAAGGGAGCAATAGGCTACAGTCGGA